AGGCGCTGTATTACAAACTTAAAAGAGGTTACTGCTTCCAAAATTAAGAGGCCCTGATTCCCATGAAATAAAGGAAATTCTCAAATTGAGAGGGTGGCAATTTCTATATTATAAGAGGCGGCAATTTTCCTAAAGAAAGAATAGAATTCCAAATTTGCCCCGATTTGACTCCCGCTATAAAATCCCGCCTTGGTTCAACTCTAGAGGAATTCATGCTAAGTTTTGGAGATAAGAAAGAAGAGAATTGAGAGCTACGGGTTGCCTTTGGAAGCAAGAAGAAAGCTTGGGAGATTTGGGAGAATCGCTTGGTTTAATTCTTGTACTCTTTAGATATTCTTGTAAACTCTTAATATTTGTTATGTATTGCATATTAGCCATGCATGGCAAAGTTTTCTTAGAGATCCTTGTAAAGTGATAGTATTTATGAACCTATGTGCTTAGTTCTTTAATGCTTTAATATAGTACTATTTTGGTTTAATACTTGTGTTGCAATTGTGTTTTGTATTGTTGATGTTTGTAATTAGTGGCCAATAGTTACTTGCTCGCATGCTATCTTTGTGTCACAACAGGAGTTGGGCATAATTTAGGGCACACACAATTGCACCTAACTGTTGCACTTTGGGAGAGGATAATTGTGTTAGGAAGTTTAATTCGTGATTATTGCACATCGGGAGATGGTAGTAGTTAGGAATTTGTTATTATGCTTGTTCTTGTTTTATTGGGTGTTTATACCACGAGAGTGGATATTCATTAGTGTTAGGGACTATGGGAGTAGCCCTATACCACCTTGCATCCTCACACTCGTATGAACCCAGATTTAATATTGACCATAGGTTTGACACTGGGTGATTAAATACTTGAACCCCAGGAATCTCATCTTCTCTCTATTGTTTCACAAACCCGAATCTTGCTTTTATTAGTTTTATGTTCAATCTGTAAAACTATAACAATAGGCATGGAATGATTTAACCAATACTTTAATCGGAAGCGTTAAAGTACTAACCTGATTCCATGAGAGAATGATGAAGCTTTCAACCCTTACTTCTTCACAACTTCTTTATGCAAGTTTGTAGAGTGTTTTTCAGAATACTTTTCCCTCTGGTCTTTCACGTTAGTTTTCACAGTGATAGGATAGGAAAATGCTTATGCCCTTTTATATTGCCTTCTATACATAACTTACATTCCAATATTGATTATTGGAATTATGGCAATAATGGCCATAAACCAAATATTAAGTACACTTAAATAGCCCTATTGAAAGCCAAAGAGAGGGGAGTAATAACCCCTTGATCCGTTACATATTTTATTCCCATTACCTATCACAACGGGATTTTAATTGTCCAGACCACTTTAATACATGGACCACAATAACATTAGAATAAAATATTCTAACATTCTCCCACTTGGTCCATGTGTATCATTGATGCATTAGGATAACTTTAATTCGCGAAATATCCCAAAACATCAATGAACCTTTACTCAAATTAAAGTTAGCTAGATCATGGCGGTCGCACATTATTTGAACAACATGTTCCCTTCCATGCATCATAGGTCAACTTTAATTTCGTTACTGACAACCATAGGTGCAAACAGAGATATAACATTAATTGAATTCAACCGAGTCAATATATCATAAAACTGAAAACCAAAATTACAATGATAACAAGGCTCTATCCAAAATTCCCATACTCTCCACATGACAGGAGAAGACTTTCGGCGCTAAACCTTTGGTCAAAGGATCAGCAACCATAAGTTCAGTTTTAATATGCCAAATTGACACTCTCTGTTTCTGTACTTCTTCTTTAACTGACAAGTATTTCAATTCCATATGCTTAGCACCCTTAGAGTACTTGTCATTCTTAGAGAAGAACACTGCTGCGGAGTTGTCACAATAAATTCTCAAAGGTCTAGAAATACTATCGACTACTTTAAGCCCCGAGATCAAATTCCGCAGCCATAGTCCATGATTTGTGGCTTCAAAGCATACCACAAATTCTGCCTCCATAGTGGAAGTAGCGATGACTGACTGCTTCGCACTTTTCCAAGAAACTGCTCCTCCAGCTAATAGGAACAAATAACCAAATGTAGATTTTCTCGTATCTACACACCCAGCATAGTCTGAATCAGAATAGCCAAACACTTCAAGTGGATCTGACTTCCTATATGTAAGCATGTAACCTTTTGTGCCTTGTAGATATCTTAAAACCTTCTTCGCAGCCTTCCAGTGTTCTATGCCGGGATTACTTTGATATCGACCCAACATACCAACAGCAAAGCTAATGTCTGGTCGAGTACAAGTCTGTAAATATCCCAAACATCCAACCACTGTTGCATAAGGTATTCCTTCCATTTGCTTTTGCTCAAGTTCATTTCTGGGACATTGAGCTAAACTTAATTTGTCTCCTTTCTGCATTGGGACCATTCCCGGAGAGCATTTATCCATCTTAAATATTTCCAAGATCTTGTTAATGTATCCTTTCTGAGACAATCCTAATAATCCTTGTGTTCTATCTCGGAATATTTCTATTCCAATCACATAGGATGCCTCACCCATATCTTTCATTTCAAAGGTCTTGGAAAGAAATACTTTAACATCACACAACATGGCCTTATTATTTGCAGCAAGTAAAATGTCATCAACATATAAGACCAAAATAGCAAACTTGCTCCCACTGACTTTCATGTAGATACACCGATCAATAGTATTTTCCACAAAACCATAAGATGTAATAATACCGTCAAATTTAATGTACCACTGTCGAGAAGCTTGCTTAAGTCCATATATTGACTTTTCTAATTTACACACCAAGTGTTCCTTTCCTGTGGTAAAAAACCCTTCTGGTTGATCCATATATACTTCTTCCTCTAAATCACCATTTAGAAAGGCAGTTTTAACATCCATTTGGTGAAGCTCTAAATTGTAATGAGCCACCAATGCCAAGACAATCCTTAACGAGTCCTTCTTGGAAACTGGGGAAAAGGTCTCGTTATAGTCGATGCCACTTTTCTGAGTATAACCCTTGGCAACAAGTCTAGCTTTATACCTTTCGATATTACCGTTAGAGTCGCGTTTGGTCTTAAAGACCCATTTGCACCCGACTTTTCTTGAATTTTCAGGTAATTCTACAAGGTTCCAAACTTTGTTGACTTTCATAGATTTCAACTCATCTTTCATGGCATCTAACCATCTTTCAAAACTGTCACTTTCATTGGCTTGTTTGAAAGAAACTGGATCTTTATCAATGCTCAAATCATTTTCTTGTTCAGCAAAATATATCACGTAGTCATTAGAAATGGCAGGCCTCCTTTCCCTTGTAGAACGCCTTAATGTCATTTCTTCTCGTGGTTCATTGATTTCTTGCTGAATTGTGATTGATTCATTTTCATTGGTCACAATACCCTCATGTGGGTTTAAGACATTCTCATGTTGTTCCGGTGCGCTAGAGGATGTCAATGTGATAACCGGAGCTACATCTTGAAAGAAATTTTCATGTGAAGAGGTTTCAACATGAATTTCTCGAATGTCCACCTTACGTAGTTCTGTGCTCCCACTATTTTGACCATTTTCAATGAACCGAGCCTTCCCAGTCTCTACAGTCCTCGTACTATGGTTAGGACAATAAAACCTGTACCCTTTAGACCTTTCTGGATAGCCAATGAAAAAACCACTGACTGTCTTTGGGTCAAGTTTATTCTCACGTGGATTATACAACCTTACTTCTGCTTGACAACCCCATACATGGAGATGCCTTAATAAATATGGTGTCTTATGAATTGCTTTACTTGGAACCCGATTTAATAAATATGCAGCGGTCCTTAACACATACATCCACAATGAAGAAGGTAAGATACAATTACTTACCATACTCCTAACCATATCCATGAGGGTTCGATTCCGCCTTTCAGCCACGCCGTTCTGCTGTGGTGTTCCAGGCATTGTATACTATGCACAAATGCCCCTGCTTTCGAGGAATTTAGCAAAAGGACCTGGACATTGTCCTTTTTCGTCAGACCTACCATAATATTCACCCCCCCCCCCCCCCCCGGTCTGACCTCACAATTTTGACTTTTCTATCTAACTGCCTTTCAACCTCATTAATGAACACCTCTAAAGTGCCCACAGACTGAGATTTATCATGCAGTAGATATATATAGCCATATCGTGAGTAGTCATCTATAAAGGTGATGAAGTACCTTTCGCCGCCCCAAGAAGGAACATCGAAAGGTCCACAAATGTCGGTGTGAATTATTTCAAGCAGCTCACTACTTCTTGTAGCAGGTTTCTTGGTTATGTGTTTGGTTTGTTTTCCTTTAATACAATCCACACACACATCCCAATCACTAAAATCCAAAGCAGGGAGGATTTCATTTTTCTCCAACCTTACTAACCTTTCCTTGGATATGTGTCCCAAACGTTTATGCCACAAGTAAGCAGAGTTTTCCGTTAATGCACTACGTTTAACTCCTATACTACTCTCAACATGAAATAAGGATTCAGCAAAATTTACATCAAGATTAAAACGATAAAGAGAATCAATTAAAGTACCAAAACCATAATATTTATTGTCCTTACATAAATGAAAAGTACGATTCTCAAATTTGATGTAAAATCCCAACATATCCAACTTACTAATTGAAACAAGATTTCTAGCACAGTCAGGGACATAGAGACAATTTGCTAGATCCAAATGATATCCAGTATCTAGGATCAATCTATACGTCCCTATTCCCTCTATTCGTGCCTTCATCCTGTTTCCCATAAACAAGAATTCATCAGTTTTTCTTGTGGGTTGGATCGAACTGAATCCCTGCAAAATATGAGAGACATGAGTAGTAGCGCCGGAATCTAACCACCAGGTATTGTTTGGTACTTCTATAAGGTTTGATTCAAAAAACATAGAGATAGAATCATTACCCTTCTTTTCAAACCAAGCTTTTCTTTTCGGACAATCTTTCTTCAAATGCCCCATTTTGTTACAAAAGAAGCACTTGACTCTTTTCTAGGCTTGACCCGACTGAGTGTTATGTTGGGTCTTGCCCTTTTTTCCTGGTTTTCTTTTATTGGTGCTTGAATTTCCTTGAGATGTGAAGTGGATGGAGTGATCTCTTAACTTCTTTAATCTCGTTTCCTCTTGAGCCAGCAAATGTTTGGTTTCTTTAAAAATCCATTTTTCTTTAAGAGTATTGTAGTTCACATGGAATTGTCCAAACTCTGCTGGTGGAAGTGAGTTAATGACTAGATGAACTAGCCATGATTCAGACAACCCCATCCCCATCCCCTTTAATTTTGCTGCAATATTGGCCATTTGATCGCAGTGATCATGGATTGGCATAGACCAATCAAACTTCTTAGAAGTCAATTCCGTCATCAGGTTCCCTAGAATTGACTTATCTGCAATTTCAGACATAGATAGCTCTTTCACTATTTCTAGAAATTCAGATGCAATGTCCACTTTTGGCATCATCGGCTTCATATTTTCTGCCATGGTAATCTTCATGAGGTTTAAACACATTTTATTGGACCTCATCCATTCTTCATGATATTCCTTCTCTTCTTGCGAGCTTTTGTCTGTGAGGGCTGCAGGTTCCTTTGTGTTTAAGGAAAGGTCTAGTCTAGTTAAGCCCAAGTAGAATTGGACTTGTTCAGACCAGTCTTGATAATTGAGGCCATTGAACCTCACAACAGCATTCAATGAAGCCGAGAATTGAGCAAAAGCTGATTCCATATTTACACTTTAATGCTCATATTTACACTTTAATGCTTTTATGCTAAGCGTATAACCAATTTAGACTTTACATAACTTTAATAGATACCAACAATACATAAAACAATATTAATAATAATCAAGTACTAGTCAAATAACCAAGTCATCTTTGGATAAACAAAGCACTAAAATCATATTCTTTAAGTATTATAAATTATTTGCAGTGATTCACCTTTGGGGCAATCTCATAGCAATATAATTTATAATTATTGCAATTGTCATCTAAGGCATCTCAATGATTTGGGCAAAATAAATTCTATTTTTAATCAACATCTATCTCCATCTAGCTAGATCACTTTGGTGACTAACAAGCTAAAAAAAAATAGACATCCTTAATGAGTGAAATAGAATTTTATTGCCATACACAACATTCATTTAGTCCAAATATTATATAACATGGTCACTTTGGTGACTCTCAGAATCCTTAATAGACTAAAAACAATTTAAGTAGGAAAATTTTAATTTATTTTAATCTAATTGTTCCTTAGCCGGGGGCCACTTTGGTGACTAACAAGCTCCTCACAACAATAGACAAAATAACAACAATAATAATAATAATAACAATAATAATTTGAAAGCCATACAAATCCACGAATCACCAAACCATAATAATTCATGAATCCAACAAATCTTTTCTTCTCAAACTATCATCGATAATAATAATAATAATAATAATAATAATAATAATAATAATATATTATTATTATTATTATTATTATTATTAAAATATATTATTATTGAGGTCCAGATATGGAACGAGGGCGGCGGCCACGCCCATGGCTGCCGCCCTCGTTCCAGACGACCATGGGCGACAGCAACGGCCGTCTGACGAGGACAGTCAGTGCTGTAATCTTTTTTTCTTTTTTTTTTCTTTTTTTTTCTTTTTTTTTTTTAATTTTCTTAATTTTTAATAAATAAATTTTAAAAATTTTAAAATAAAAATTATTTAAAAAGACACGTGTCAAATTTTTGAAGAAGTAACCTGCTAAATAGGTAAATTTAGACTTAATTGAACAATTTTACAGGTTTAGGGGATCTAAATGAAGCTTTTTCTACTTAAGGGATCCAATTGCACTATTTACTTAACTTAAGAGGTCAATTTGACCCTTTTTTCATTAACTTATTAACTACTAGCTTTTCAACTTTCAAATAAATATTCCAAATAAAGCCATAATATTATTGTTCCCAAAAAAAGCCATAATATTATTAACAGTATGGGACAATTGCTCTTTGTAGATATTTATTCTTAATTCTTAAAGTACCTTTGAAAATTCGAAAAAAAATGATTTCAAAAGTCATTTTCTGAAATTAAGTTTGTCTTCTTATTTTTCCAAATTTATAATTTTAAATTACTATATTGGTATCAATTTAAAATTATTAAAATAATATAAGAAATAATTTTGTAATATATTTTTTATAAATAATAAATCAAACATAAAAAATATGAAATTTTAAATTTCAGTCAAATATAACAAAATAAAAATGATTTTTTAAAAGATAATTAATTATAAAAATTATTATCTAAATTTTCAAACGTTATAAAATGCTGTAAATTTTGCTTGAATAAATTCGAAAGGGTAAGTGGGTAACTTTATGAGATGCGGGGCAACCGGGCATGAAGTTGAAGGTGGTGGATAAAAGTAGAAACTGCTGAAGTTACCGTTGGATTATAAGGTAAGCCCACTGCGACACGTGTACGCTTAAGCAGAATATCTCTACGGCACAGCCGTTTTAACTGCTAAAAATTCACCTGCTTCTCTGCTGACACCTCACTGCTTACTATTCCGAATCATCTGTGACAGCACAACAAACATTTCTTTATTTGCTTATAGCAATTTTTTTTTCTGATTTATCCATATATTTATCAGTTATCACCTCAATTATATTAAAAGTGAAAATTTTTCCCTTTTATATTAGATATATATTTTTACTCTTAAAAATAAGTATTTCATTTATTTTTCTTCTCTAATAAATTATTTTTTTTTAAAGCTACTGGACACTGTATCAACCGAATCAAAACAGTAGGAACGGTTCTGGTTACAATTCAGAACCAAAAAAATAAAATAAAATAAAATAATTATTGAATTTAGACTAATTTAAAAATAAAAAATAGAATTTATAAAAATAAATAAATAAATAAAATTTGAATTGATAATCAAATAAGAACAGGACTGTTTCATTAAAAATAGGGGATCTATCTATTTATAGTGATAAGAAACATAGATAAGGACAAAAGTATAGAGGTTATGAGATAATTCAATCTAGATTTATTTGGACTTCACATTATTATTTTCTATAACAAAAATTAAAATGTAATACAAAAATTTTGTCCAAATAAAATGCATAAAAATTCTAAAAAAGAAAAAAAAAATTCAAAATTTAATGTAAAAGTGACATTTTCATGCATATTTAAATACAAAATTTCAATGTCAATTCATTCTAAAATTTTATTTTCAATTGCAAATAGACCAATGTATAGATTCTAAAAACCATAATTATCAAGTATAAAAATAATGATGTTTTATATAAAACATTAAAAAAAAAAAAAAATTGGGGGCCCTGTACCATAACCCGGACATTTGGCTAAGACTGGCCCTGAATAAGGGTTTTTTCTTCTACTTTTGATCCCACGACTATGGGACAATTCAATATTTGGGACTTAATTATTAATTTTTTCATATTTGATTCCACGACTTTTAAATTATTGCTAATGTTTGGCCTCTCTTACCTAATTTTTCATCACCGGTGACCAAATCTAGGGTAATTGACTTATTTTGAAGGGTAAAATTGTCATTTCTTGTCCCCTCCCCAAGAAATTTAAGAGAAATGTAATGAAAAATAACAATTTTAATTTGCTCTTTAAAATAAGTCATCGGTGACCGAAAATTAAATCGAATGTGCCAAAAGTGACAATGGTTTAAAAATCATGTGACAGTCGAAGACCAAATGTGAAAAATATTCTCATACTCGTGAGACTAAAAGTGAAAAAAAAAAATCATCAAATAAATTAAAATAATTAGATTATATTTACTTTGAGATTAATTAAATTACCCAAGTTAAAAATGTACACAATTGAAAAATAACTTAACTTTCAATTTTGTGTAAATTATAAAAGTATAAAGAATTTCAACCGTTTTAATAAATTAAAGGTCAGATGATCTTGCGCCAAAATAACATAGTCAAAATTGGTTTTCAAAAAAAAAAAAAAAAAAACATAGTCAAAATTGAGTAGGTGGCAATGAGTTGGTGCATATATTATATGACATGGTGCAAATAAATTGATGATGAACTATTTATGTGAAATAGATTATTTGAAGTTGGATGAGTTAGATAATATATATTAAAGGGAAAATTGTAAGTTATGTCCCTCACAAATATGACAATTATCAATGTCATTCTTGAATTATTAGTGGTGTAAATGTTACTTTTCAATTTTCAAAACGTGACATATGTTACCTCTTCACTGAATTATTAGTGGTTTAAATGTGGTTACCCGACGTTTTTCATATTCAAAGACCATGTTTTTTTTTTTACTCCATTTTTCTTTCTTCGTTTGTTTTCCTTCCGCTGATAACAATGCTTCTCCTTCTTCCTATTAGGGGAGGTGCAATATATGTCACGTTTTGAAAAATGATGGACAACATTTACACAACTGATAATTTAGGGTGACATTAATAATTCACATATTTGTAAGGGGCATAAATTACAATTTTCCTTATATTAAATATTATGGTAATATTTTAATAGTAACCTAGGATTTATTAACATACTTAATATTATAGCCATTTGATTATAAAAATGAAAATAAAATTGATTGATATATTATACTCACGACCCGACCCGTGGTAGCAACACGGACCCGGAGCACCACGTTAGAGCCCAAAAGCACCCGGTCCACGGTAGCAACACGGGCCCAGAGCACCACGTTGGAGCCCAAAAGCACCCGGCCCACGGCACCATGGAGGTGCCCCGACCCGAACCGAGTTACGTGGGGCTTGGGTCGGGTAGCACAACCCTACCCGGGCTCGGTCCATAGTGAGCTCAAGTAGGGGAGCTCGGGACCCGACCCGACCCTGTCCGCCCGGGTCCCCAGTCAAAGGGTGATCTAACCACCCCCTTTTTAGGGGGAGCGGTTGGGGTTTGTTGCATATAAACCCCCCTTCCCCCCCCCCCCCCCCCCCACCTTGTCTCTTTAGGGCACGTTCATTACATTCTATCAACTTAATTCATATTCTAGCTACTTTGTCTTACCAAATCGTTGTAATAGTCAATTCTACGGCATTTAATATAATATATGGTCTCACGGCCTTTACGACGTCGTTTCGTATTATTTATTATTTATATTACGTTCTTATCCGGATTTATTGATTTGGGTCCACCCTGGGTTAATTAAATCCATCATTGGTGTTCTTGTTGAGAGTTGCTGTACCAGCTCAAGCGTGTTCTATATCCAGTGGTCTACCGCGACCAGCTACTATGGCAAGATCGAAATCCAACTCTCGCCACATCAACGATTCCCGCGGCACCCAGCTCGTCGCAACCGGGAACGGCCCCAACGAGGTCCCCAGCCTTCAATCGGCCACCTCTGCCAGGTCGGGGAGAGACATGAGGGACCGCCTCACCAACCACCGCAGCGACGGAGCCCCACCTCCCGCCCGCCCCCACTCCGCCCCTAGCCCTTGTTCGCGAAGGGGTGGAGGTCTTTGAGCAAGTCTCCACGGTGCTAGACCGGGTCGCACAAGGTTTTCGAGCAAGTGTGTTTGCCGACCCAAGCGTCAACCAAGGGCTGCCAGCACCTCCTCCACCTCCTCCCACCCGGGGGCATAGTGGTCCAAGTACCCGACCACCCCAGGCGCCCGCCACCCAGGGGGAAGTCAATTCGCCCTGCCAGACAAACACACGGGGAGGAGGGGACTCACGGCGCGATCGGCGTCATGAGGACAATGGAAGGAGGTCAAACC